CCACCCGCCCACCCACTCACCCTACCTTTCTAGGGGCCCATTGTCTCCGGTCTCCGGCCACAATGGGCTTTGCTCCCTAGTAAAGAATATAAAAGAGAGCTCTAAAGCAAGTCTTAGATTCAAACAAAGACTGAGGCTATAAAGTGCTTGCTTCAGTATCTCAAAAAGGCAACTATATGAAGGTTTCAGTAATGTGTGCATATTTTTAAATTCACGGAGCAATTAACGAATTAAAAGCCAGATAATGAATCAAATCAAATTCTGGTTGAGGGTCTTATTGAAATGCTCAAAAGTGATGTCTTCTGTGTGGTGCTGTTACGAGACTGCACAAACGAACTTTCAAAAACAGTGACTGAATTCTGTGTTTCAATTACCATTGTAGTTTTGACCCCCCTGGCCCCATGTCTGCTGGAATGTCATGCGAAGTCGGTGTGACCTTTAAACCAATGGTAAGAATGATACAGACCATGAAGGAACGGCATTTGCAAAAACTTTATGATAGCAAAAGGGAATTAAACGGACAAGGGACAAAAAGCTGAGATGCTTATCAGTGCAGAGTTGCTGCTCTGTTTTGTAACAGTACCTGTGATTGAGTCAACATCCCAAAGTGTACCTGGAAATGAGAGAAAAAATTGCATCCCAAACAAAGGCCTAGTAAAGACAATTACTGCTCAGTATTATAGCATTGGAAAAAGTGCAGAAAAGGGCAACTAGAATGATAAAAGGGTTGGAACACTTTCCCTGTGAAGAAAGGTTAAAGTACTTGGGGCTCTTTATCTTGGAGAAACAACGGCTGAGGAGTGACATGATTGAGATTTATAAGATTATGCATGGGATAGAGCAGGCTGAGAAAGAAGTGCTTTTCTCCCTTTCTCACAATACAAGAACTCGAGGGCACTCAATGCAATTGCTGAGCAGTCGGATTAGAACAGATAAAAGGAAGTCCTTCTTCACCCAAAGAGTGATTAACACATGGAATTCACTGCCACAGGAGGTGGTGGCAGCTACAAGCATGGACAGCTTCAAGAGGGAATTAGATAAGTATATGGAGCAGAAGTTCATCAGTGGCTATTAGCCACAAGGTGTAGAGAGGAACTCTCAGTCTGGGGCAAGGGATGCTCTGTCTTCTTGGTGCTTGGGGGGGGGGGCAACAGTGGGAGGGCTTCTGGTGTCCTGGCCCCACTGCTGGACCTCCTGATGGCACCAGGTATTTTTGGCAACTGTGTGACAGAGTGTTGGACTCGATGGCCATTGGCCTGATCCAACATTGGCTTCTCTTATGTTTGTTCTTATGTGATGCTCATCCAGCTGTGGAGGTATGCCCATGTTCACTTGAAGTTAACATGGGATGAGTTGCTCCAGGCCAAGCACATCTCGAACCAGGAATGCTGGCAGCAGTGCCTGGGCACTTTGCCCCATGTTACCCCAGGGCAGCTTTCAAGTGGATGGTATGGCTGGCTTGATCTCACTGCTGATATCCAGAGGGGTAGACTACAGTGTCCAGCCCAGCAGAATCAAATAACTTGAGGAGCCAATAGGGTCCCACCTGGCTCTGTCCTGCCTCCTCAGTTTGAGCACCTATTCAGTCTAGTCTTGAGCTGTTCACACTCTTGATGGCTTGAATCCCTGCAGGCCTGGCTGCAGCTGCCAGCACTGAAACTAAGTGCAGAAGCCTGATTCATGAAAGCTTTCTCTGTTTTGGGGAGGGGCATTCAGAATAGCATGAACTGGGAAGCCTCTGTGTCACATATTTAAGGTGAGGCTGAGACCACAGCTATACACGTTCTGGGGACCTCTGTGTTGGACTACTTAACATACTCTCTGTGGGACTGCCCTTGAAACGTGGTTGGAAGCTACAGCTGGTGCAGAAGGCAGCTACCTAGTTAGCCTCACGGAACATGTAACCAGGCCTTGAAACATCATTAGTGGCTCCCAACAGTTTTCCACACTGGTATTGACCTTGAAACAGCCTGGGGCAGCAATACCTCAAGAACTACCTCCTCCATATGAGCCTACCATTTTGCACCACTTAGGGATTTATGGTTTTGGCATACCTGTCGTAACCCCAGAGCATGGTCTGAAGGCACTTGATACAGCTGAATCTTGCGGAATCTAACCAGGTCTGGATCAGGACAGCCCCACCTAAGTACCCCGTCTAGACTTTTTTTTTTTTTTAAATAGAGGTAGGATATAAACGAAATTAAACTTATTGGGGGGAAATCACAACAGATTCTTCACCGCTGCTCTCTCCACCTTTTAGATAAACGAAGATCTCGAAGGAGAAGTCGCCTTTTTATCTCACATTGGCTCCTTTTCAATCCCGTTAAAATGTTCAACCAAGAAATGTGTGGTAAGTCCTGTTCTTATCTTCCAGTCTTTGGGTGAGGCAACTCCTGTGTCAGGATACAGAAACCAAAATGGAGTGTCAGTGGGAGAAGAGGCTTACCATTTTTTTTAAATCTGTGAGTCATCAATAGCTGAAGAATCAAGTTAACAAGAAATCGGAGGATACCATGCTTGTGTGAACTGGCACATAGTGTCCTATTCCTGACTATTCCTTTCAGCCTGCAAGGGTGGCTAAGAGTCGTGGCCTGGCTGTCGGTGAGCAGGAAAGGAGCTGTCCAGCAGCACCAGCAAAGGTGGCAAAAGTCTGTGGCCTGGAAGCTGAGGGCTGAGCTGTCCAGTTGGTGTCCCAGCACTAGAAAGCAGGCACCTTGGTCTGTAAGAATGTTGCACCATCTACCCCAAGACAGAGACTGGGGTTTGCTGTGCTGTTTGGTGTAGTGGTTAGGAGCGCGGACTCTAATCTGGGAGAACCGGGTTTGAATCCCAACTCTTCCACATGCAGCTGCTGGTGTGACCTTGGGTCAGTCATAAGTCCCTTCAGAGCTGTTCTCTCAAGGGCAGTTCTCAAAAGAGCTCTCTCAGCCCCACCTACCTTACAGGATGTCTGTTGTGGAGAGGGGGAGGGAAAGGAGATTGAAAGCCGCTCTGAGAGAAGGGCGGGGTATAAATCCAATCCAATCCCTTCTCCTCCTCCTCTTCTTCTTCTCCTCCTCCTCCCCCTCCTCATTGTCCAACCCTTCCTGACACACTAATGGAGCTCTAATCCTGACAAAGCCCTCTGCTCCCCAGTGTGTGTGGAGAGATCCTCATCTGGTTCCGGGTGTGCAGTTTGGGTGGGTCCTATAATACAGCACCGGACTATTCTTGAAGGGAATCGGTCCTGATTATATAGCACAATACTGGTGCCCAGGCCCCAGCGTAGCCGCGAGAACACAGGGTGTTTCTCTTGCATTCCAGTCCTCAATATTGTCCCGGCTATTTCTTTTTAAAGATTACCAGACACCAGTCCTACAAAAAAGGCATGTAGGTGGTTTCATTTAAAAGTGCACTTGAGCGTAATGCTAGAAGAGAGCACATTCAGAGAATTGTGCCTAAAATTAGCTGTGCAACTGCGAAAAAACAACAGCATCATCTTAATCTCTTCATCAGTGGACAATAAAAGTTTATGAACCGTTTTTGCTTATCCATTGTTATCAGCCTTTGGAGAATTTCTCAAGCCAGATATTCAAAGAAGGAGCTAGAGTGCATTCATTTGTTAAGCTGCTACATACACAGTTCCACCAAGGACAGTAACTACATGAAGTATTGACAAGGATAGTCGGCAAGGAGAGTGTCTACCTGAAATAGCTAGATAAGGGCGTCTGGTGGAGGAGGGAGAATGTGGATTGGGGTCGCAGTGCTGTTTCCTGCCATGGGCTGTTTCCCCTATTGAAAATCCCCCCCCTTGCTTTAAGCACCTGCAAGGGTGGGGTGGGGGCATAATGTTGGCACCTGTCGTATAGAACTGCAGCTACATTGTGGGAGATGTGGTATGGTGGACCGTTCCTCTTGGGCATGGGGGGGGGATCTTCTGCAACCCCAACCTTTGGGGCACAGGACTTAATAGAGCCAGCATTCTTGATCCTCCTGATTCCCAGGCGCTAAGATCTCTGCCAAAACTACGGGCACTGTCTTTCTGGGATGGAGCCTGTTGAGCTTTAAACTCTGTACAATGTTCCCTTCTCCTGTGAGGTGGAGGGCTGCATCACTATAGAGGAGGGTTACAGCTTTTGTCCTTGCCAGTTTGGTGTAGTGGTTAGGAGTGCGGACTCTCATCTGGGAAAACCAGGTTTGATTCCCCCACTCCTTCACATGCAGCTGCTGGGTGACCTTGGGCAAGCCACAGTTCTCTCAGAGTTGTTCTCTCAAGAGCAGTTCTTAACGAGCTCTCTCAGCCCCTCCTACCTCCCAGGGTGTCTGTTGGGGGGGAGAGGAAGGGAAGGCGATTGTAAGCCGCTCTGAGACTCCAAGTGAAGGGCGGGGTATAAATTCAATCTCCTCCTCCTCCTCCTCCTCCTCTTCTTCTTCCTCCCTTTCTCTCTGTTCTGCAGCTACAGTGGCTCTGAGCAACTGTCCTAGTGACACTGTCTGGTGCACTCCTCTTTCCTCCTTATGAGAGCCAGGTTGGTGTAGTGGTTAAGTGCGCGGACTCTAATCTGGGAGAACCGGGTTTGATTCCCCACTCCTCCACTTGCACCTGCTGGATGACCTTGGGCAAGCCATACATCTGTCTGAGCTATTCTTGAAAAAGAGCAGTTTCTGTCAGAGCTCTCTCAGCCCCACCTACTTCACCTGGTGTCTGTTGTAGGGAGGGGAAGGGAAAGGAGTTTGTAAGCTGCTCTGAGACTCCTTTGGGTAGAGAAGGGCAGGGTATAAATCCAATCTCCTCCTCCTCCTCTTCTTCTTCCTTATGTCAATCTTACTCAGTCACTCCACTGGGTTGGGTTGGTCAAGTGGTCCAGTTTCCATAGGGAGGGGGAGGACCTGATGGGACCGGAGGCAGTTACATATATCAAGGCTGGCAGGCTTATTCAGTGGTCTGCACTGCAAACCCTGGTCTGCCTTGCTGCAGAGGTGCTTCCCTTCTGACCCACTGAGAAGCCTTTCCTTGTCCCTATCCCCAGCTTGCCAAGGGATGAGTTATTCCACTAAATGTTTTGGACCCACCATCCCACTACGTTAGCACAAGCAGATGGCAGAGCGGATGGGACCGCTGGGGAGACTTCTGCTTGAGAGCCGTCTTCGGTTTGTTGGGGCTTCCTTCCCGTACCGAGGATGTTTCTTCGAATCATTTTTTTTTTGTTCCTTCACTGTCAAATAAACCGTGACACATTCCCAGAGCTTGGCACAAACAGCTTCTTGCCAGCGTTCCATAGCAATGAACATCGCCAAGTTCAGAAATGTGCCCCCTTGACTTGGCAGCCAATCGCCAGGAAATGAATTGCTTAATAAATCAGCTCCTTGGATCCCTTGTTTGTCACTAAATGTCAGACTTAGCAGTACAACAAACACATCCAAATATCAAAACAGCTAAATTCATGAAAATAGTTAATCACCCAGTCCTCAGAAGTCCTGCACCGAAGTAGAGATCAAGAGTTGGTGGATTGGAGAGCGAGATGCTGACTCCTGTATCACCAGTTTAGTAAAATGTGCCATTTAAATGTACCATAGAAAGTGCTATCCTGTCACATCCCATGTTCTTCAGGTGGTACAGGGAAGAGAACACGAATTTAGGTCCACAGGGACTGCGGCTCAGTGGCAGAACACACATGAACACATGAAGCTGCCTTCTACTAAATCAGACCCCTGGTCCGTCAAAGTCAGTATTGTCTACTCAGACCGGCAGTGGCTCTCCAGGGTCTCAGGTGGAAGTCTTTCTCGTCACCTCCTACCTGATCCTTTTAACTGGAGATGTCTGGGATTGAACCTGGGACCTTCTGCATGCCAAGCGGATACTCTGCCACTGAGCCACAGCCCCCACTTTGCATGTTTGAAAGTGAGGGTGAGTCCCTGGCATCTCAGTGAAAGGATCCTTGGTAGCACGTGCTGGGAAAGGCCTTTCTGTACCTGAGACCCTAGAGAGCTGCTGCCAGTCACAGTTGTTGTTGTTGTTGTTCAGTTGCACAGTCGAGTCCGACTCTTCGCGACCCCATGGACCAGATCACGCCAGGCCCTCCGGTCTTCCGTTGTCCTCTGAACTTTGCTCAACTTCATGTTCGTTGCATCTATGACACTGTCTAACCATCTCATCCTTTGCCGTCCCCGTCTTCTTTGACCTTCAATCTTTCCCAGCATCAGGGTCTTCTCCAGTGAGGGCTCCCTTCTCCTTTGGTGGCCAAAGTATTTAAGCTTCAGTTTCATTATCTGGCCTTCCAGGGAACAGTCAGGGTTGATTTCTTTTAGGATTGACTGATTTGATCTTCTTGCAGTCCAAGGGACTCTCAAGAGTCTTCTCCAGTCACTGTCTTCAAAAGAATCTATTCTTCGGCGCTCGGCCTTCCTTATAGTCCAACTCTCGCAGCCATACATGACTACTGGGAATACCATTGCTTGGACCATGCGTATAACCATCTCATCCTTTGCCGTCCCCGTCTTCTTTGACCTTCAATCTTTCCCAGCATCAGGGTCTTCTCCAGTGAGTGCTCCCTTCTCATTTGGTGGCCAAAGTATTTGAGCTTCAGTTTCATTATCTGGCCTTCCAGGGAACAGTCAGGGTTGATTTCTTTTAGGATTGACTGATTTGATCTTCTTGCAGTCCAAGGGACTCTCAAGAGTCTTCTCCAGTCACAGTCTTCTTCTGCCAGTCACAGTAGACAGTACAAAAACTAGATCTTCTAGTAGATAGTACTAAACTAGATCTTCTGCCAGTCACAGTAGATAGTACTAAACTAGATTAACTGTGGTGGCCTATGTGTAAGACGGCTTCATCTCCTCAATTGTGGAATGTATGAGTAATAATTTAAGAACAATCTGTCACACTCTGGAGGGATTCCATGCCACACCCCAGGGTCTGACAGTGGTCAGGTTTTGGACCATCCTTCTGATGGGGCCCAAGAGGAGTTATTTACTTAATAAAACATTTATATCCTGCCTTTCCTTGTCGCACAAGGCAGCTTACGAATCACAATTAAAACACTGCAATTCAAAACCAGTAGAATAGACCCACAGATATTCCTTCCCCCCTAAGAGATGCCTGCAGTTGAGACACCCCTCCCCAGTTAAATACCCTGGCAAATCAAATAGCCTTGCAGCACCTCCTGAAGACTGCGAACCACGTTTTCCTCACCTCCTCAGGGAGCCCATTCTACCGAGTGGGAGCAGCAATGGAAAAGGAGCAAGCTCTGGCTGATGTCAGGTGGGCCACCTTAAGTGGGGGGGGGGTGGCCAACAGATAATGGCCCGAAGACCATAACTGATGGTCCTTTGGCCATGTGGGTCCTAAGCCACAAAGGGCTTTAGAGGCCATAACCAGCATCCCGAACTGGACTCGGGAACAAACTGGCAGCCAGTGTTAGCGGCAGCTCCCAGATTGTCTGCAAGGGTGGCCCAACGTAGAGTGCATTACACAAATCGATCTGTGAGGTTAAGAAAACATGGATCTGCATGGCCCAATTGGCTGAGCCTAAGACAGGAGAGAGTTGACGAGCCAGATGCAGCAGACAGAAGGCACTCTTGGCTACTATGTCGCTCTGTACTTCAAACAGTACGGCTGGGTCCATGGGCGCCCCCAAGCTTTTAGCCTGCCGTGCGAAAGAGGCATCCATCCAAGACCGATGGACCCAATGCCTCTAAAACCTGGCCTTCCTGACCAGGATCACACCTCTGCGTTGTCTGATCTAGGGCAGATGTAATCCAGACCAAGCAGACAAGAGATCAAGTTCTAAAAGTAGTGGCTGGAGTTCTGTAAGGCACAGAGAGCTCGTGGGCCAGCGTGAGGTTGAGTTCTGAAGGCAGCAGTGCTGTAAATAGCAGGTGCTTAGCTAGGAAGGGCCTTTCCCAGAACAACAAGTTGCCAAGACTGAAGATCCTCTGAGGCTGAGGCCTCAGGGCCCAGGAGCGTAAGATCAGTCCTTTAACAATGTCCGATGGGAGTTCTAGCTCAAGACTTGCCCACCCCAGCAGCATTGTTAGGAAGCAGAATGGGGCACATGTCTTCTTACTTGGCAAGTAAAAGGGCAGGCTTATGAATATTTTAAATAAATACCCCCCACACTATACCAGTGCTTCCCCCTGCCCCCGCCGCTTTTGTATATACTTTCAATTTGTACCCCGCTCACCCCCGAAGGGCTCTGAGTGGCTTACACGGTGCATGGTGCAGAGACCTATGCAGAAACCCTAACTATGGCCACAGTACGTCTGGGGTGGGGGGAGCCCTACCAGGTACCCTCCCGGCTCCGATCATTCGTTTATCCGGCAAGTGGGCGACTTCTTCCAGTTCTCTCCGGTGCGGCTTCCGCAGCCTCCGCTGTTCTTTTGGCTCTCTGGCGACACCTCTCGGGGGCTGTTGGTTATGGGCCCTGGTGCGCAGCCGCGGTAGGCGTCACAACGTCCTTACGGCTCCGGACGTCCTCCTGCTGGCCACGTCATCAGCTGCCGAGCCAACCGCCTCCTTGGGATGTCGCTGCCTCTTCATCTCCGTGCTGGCCGCCGCCGTGTTGCCGCCGCTTCTCGATTCCTCGCTCGGCTGGAGCCCAATTTCGAGGGAGGGGTACCGCCCTGTCCTCCTATGGACAAGTACCCATTTACCTAATTGCCCCGAGGGGCTTTCGGACTGCTGGGTTGGCAGGAGCTGGGGCAAGGGTCGGGAGCTCACCCCGACCACGGTGGTATTCGAACCGCTGTTACAGCAGTTCGAGATGACTATTTCTACAGGCATCTAACTGCGCCACCGCCACCGCCTTTTTTGCGGTGTAGATATAAAACCTACCTCGGCTAGAATGGCTGTCTTATTTTAAATCTGCTTTCTTTTGTTCTCCCCACACACACGCACACACACCACCATTCACACATGCCCAGAAGTGGTGCCAGAGAGATCCCGTGTCTTCCGTGGGTGTGTCACTCTGCGGCATTGTCTTTTGAAGTGACAGTAAGGGCCGTCTTGTGCTTGTAACTGTCGATGTTCATTTATCTGATGTTGCCACCTATCTAGGGCAGTGATAATTATGGGTTTTTTTCCCTTCTTACAGCTGGCACTAGATAAAGAGCTCATTGACTTCGGCACTCATGTGGTGGGAGAGACAATTTCACGGACCATCACCTTGACGAACAGCGGGGCCTTGGCAACGCGGTTCCAGCTCTGCAGATCAGCCGGCTCGGGTGCCGCGCGCATGGTGATATCACCCCCTTCCTTCGAGAGAGCGGTTAGTCTGAGGACATATAGATATCAGATGGTCTCAGGAACCTCAAACTGCACAGATCAGCAGATTTTAAAGCAGCCTTTGTTAATCAGTAGGTGCTCCTTCCCAGAGGGAACCATATGGCCATGGCATCTGAGTGGAACCTCCCAGGTTGGAGGCAGGATGAATATGGGTTGCTTCAGGCAAAAATGGAAGAGGAGTGTTTGGAGGCATCCACAAAGCATCTTTGCCTGCTGTTGCAAAGGGGATACTGGACTAGACAGCCCCTTGGTCTGATCCAGCAGGGTTCCCCTTATGTTCTCATGCATGGAAGAAGGAGTTGTTTCCTGTAGAGCTTGTGGGTCAAAATCTTCTCTGTTAGCCAGTTTGGTGTAGTGGTTAAGTGTGCAGACTCTAATCTGGGGGAACCAGGTTTGATTCCCCACTCCTCCACTTGCAGCTGCTGGATGGCCTTGGGCCAATCACAAGTTCTCTCAGAGCTGTTCTCTCAAGGACAGTTCTGGAAAGAGCTCTCTCAGCTCCACCTACCTCACAGGGTGTCTGTTGTGGGGAGGGGGAGGGGAAGGAGTTTGTAAGCTGCTCTGAGACTCCGAGTGAAGTCTCTTCTTCTTCTTCTTAAAGGAATAAGTGACACACACCTTTGGTTGGGCAAATGGTGATAATTGGAAATTTTATTCATTTTTCTTGATTTACAAAATTTGTATCCCGCTTTTCTGCCCTCGCAAGGGCCATCGTGGCACCTAATAATTTAAAACATACATTATAACATTTTAAGCAACCCCCCCCCAACACACATCATCCAAACAACTGAAAACAGAGTTAAAGTACATATGAAATATAAAATAACAATTAAAACACTGGTCAAGAACAAAAAAGTCTTCACCCACTGGCGGAAGATGGCAACAGAAGGGTACCGACAAATCTCTGTGAGGAGAGAGTTCCAGAGCCTTGGTGCTGTGATCGAGAAGGACCGAGTTGCCACCTGCCTAACCTCAGAAGGCAGGGGTACCCAAAGGAGGGCCTCCAAAGATCGCCATAGTGGTCAGCAGTGTTCCCCTTAAGCTGAGCTAGTGTGAGCTAGCTCACAGTTTTTTAGCCTCTGGCTCACACTTTTTTGTCTTAGCTCAGGAAGGAAGGCTCCAGAGCAAACTAATTTATGCGGCAGCCAAATTGCTCGCTCACACCTTTAATGCCAGTAGCTCACAAAGTAGGATTTTTGCTCACAAGATTCCACAGCTTAGAGGGAGCATTGGTGGTCAGGTAGGTTTATAGTTGTTCTTTGGTCCCAGTCTGAAAAGTTATAATCAAAATCCCATCAAATTCAGTGCTGAAATTCACCCTGACATCGATGGTCCAGGCAAACCCAGTCTCATCAGATCTTGGAAGCCAAGCAGGGCCGACCCTGGCAAGTATTTGGATGGGAGACCTCCAGAGAATACCAGGGCTGGGAGCCCTGAGGCAGGCTATCAAGCCACTTAATCTTGCCTTGGAAAGCAATATTCTATATTTGGGGACCATCAAAGATTTACAGTAAGAGGGCAAAGATTCTGGAATCGGAAGACCTAAATAATACAAAGAACAGACCCGTCGAGCTCGGCAACTTGTACTCCATTTATCTAAGTGTAAAACACTAGATTTAATTTGTTTCCGCACAGAAGGGTGGTCTACTTGATTGAAAAATTCAGGGGTGAATCCTAAACTTTGTAATCTGCCATCAACCAATTTCAGCCACAAACTTCGAAAACTGTCCTTAGCTAAAAGGTGCAAATAACATCCCTCTAGGGAATAGAGTATTTTTGGCCTAAAGAAAAAAGTTGCCATCCAAGCCTTTGTTTCTAAGGACTGCTCAGCAAATTCCACATAAATAGCTGGACCAGACACACATGAGAGGAGATTAGACAGAGAACGAAGAAAAGAAGTTAAACAGGAGTCTAACTTGTCGCTGACCCTAGTAATAAACAAAGGAGCACCATAGAGTAATGGGGAAACCACTTTTGCATGACAAGCACGAATGGCAGCAGGCAAAAAGTTACCGCCCGTAGTCCGGACGATTTTTAAGAGGGCAGATGAATGTATTGATGCCAGCTTCTTAGCGGCAGTAATATGAGTTTTCCAGGACAAATTATAAGGAAAAAGCACACCCAAGTAACTAAAGGAATTAACCTGTTCGATCGACTGGCCGTTTATTAACCAAGAAAAACGGCGAGGCGGTACACCTTTAGAAAAAACAACGACTTTGGTTTTGGGGTAGTTTATGCCCAGTCGCTCCTGAGAGCAGTAAAATGCAAAAGCGTTCATCAAACGTTTCAGCCTAACATATGACCGAGATATCAACACAGCATTGTCGGCATAAAAAAAAAATTGATATAGGTTTTTGAGACAGGTGGGGAAGATGGAAGGATTCACCAGAAAGGTGATTTTCAATGTCGTTAATATAGAGGTTAAATAAATAAGGCACTAATAGGCAGCCCTAATGAACACCTCTATTAATTTTAATCATTTTAGACAGTTGGCCTTTACTCCCACACCTCACCTGTGCGGTGTCGTTTTGGTAAAACTTGTGAGTTAGCCAAGTAGGCAACGATCCATATTGCAAGCTTTCCCCACAATCTGGCACCAGGAATTGCATCAAAAGCCGTAAGGACTTGTTTCTCTAAGAGCCAAGACCTCTAGATCCAGTTCTGCCAAGCATTGTGAAAACAACAGATTCCCATTCAAATGCAGAATTTCTAGAACTGCTGGTACAATAAAGTGCATCTTTGCTTTCGTTATTTTTGCACATATGGAGTCCATGTCTTGGAGACCTTTGCTGATTGATGGGGAGAAGTACATCTCTTGGTTAACTCTGGGTTTTATCTCATGAAAACCGGAAATGAATAGGGATTCCTCTCTAGGCAACACTTCACAGTAATTCAGATGGAAGCCTCGAATTCTGATTAAGACTAGTGAAATTGTTCAGAAGGGTTTCGAGCAAGTCCGCGTGACCCTGTCCTTTGACCACTACTCCTTCCTGTCATTTTCCCCTCCATTCTTCTGAAGTACGGCACTTTTCATCTTCCTTAAAAGGTGCACAAAGTATTAGAAATTCTCAATTTGAAGAAATCAATTTTCTATTTTCATGTCAGTTAGTGGGATTTTGTAGAGATAGATGGCCTCAGGTTTTGTTGGTAATATCTGAAATTTATTTATTTATTTATTTTATCACACTTGTATCCCGCCCTCCCCACAAGCAGGCTCACGGCGGCTAACAGTATTTGGTGCAAGGCTAGGTTTGCCAAGTCCCCCCGGGGGGCGGGGAAAACCCCGCCCCAGAGGCCCGTTCCCCGCCGCCACCAGATCGGGCCCCGGGGGGAACTCCACCCCGACGTGCACGTCACCAGGAAGTGACGCGACCACACCGGGCACACTGGGGGCGGGGCCACGGTCATCCGAGGGAAAACTCTATGGTTTTCTCTCAGATAGTCATGGCCCCGTCACCAGCATGCCCAGCGTCGTCACGTCACTTCCTGGTGACGTGGATGCGGTGCGCACGCGCTCCGAGATCAACCCGGGAGTCCCCCGCTCCGGAACAAGGTGAGACTTGGCAACCCTATGCAAGGCACCAAAGTCGTAAAACAGTTAAAACAATCAAAACAGTTAAATAATTTACAGTTAAGATACTCACAGTTTCAAATCACAGTGGCGGACCATATAATGCCGCACCCAAGGTTCTCAGTCTCTGGGCTCCAGATGGTACCCATATAATGTCCGTTAGGCTGGCCTTGCACCGCAGATGTTAATTCCGGGCACTGATGGTAGTGGCGGCGGCTCCTAATCGAAGGCCTGGCAGAAGAGCTCCGTCTTGCAGGCCCTGCAGAACTGTACAAGATCCCGCAGGGCCCTGATCTCCTCCGGGAGCTCATTCCACCAGTAAGGAGCCGCCACTGAGAAGACCCTAGCCCTGGTCGCAGCAAGCCTGGCGTCCCTGGGGCCTGGGATAACTAGTCGATGTTGTGACCCCGACCGTAGTGCTCGCTGGGGTATATATGGGGAAAGGCAGTCCCTCAGGTATATTGGACCCTGGCCATATAGGGCGTTAAAGGTAAGCACCAGCACCTTGAAGCGAATTCGGTACACTATTGGCAGCCAGTGCAGTGCCTTAAGCACAGGTTGGATGTGCTCCCATCTAGGGAGACACATCATCAGTCTGGCCGCGGCATTCTGCACCAGCTGCAGCCTCCGGATTTGCGACAAGGGCAGCCCCATGTAGAGAGCGTTACAGTAGTCTAGCCTTGAGGTGCCCGTCGCATGGATCACCGTAGCCAGGTCATCGTGGTCGAGAAAGGGGGCCAACGACTGCCATACCAGCTGGAGATGGTAAAAGGCCGACTTGGCAGTGGCTACTACCTGGGCCTCCATTGTTAAGGAGGGGTCCAGGAGCACTCCCAAACTCCTAACCACCGACACAGGCACCAGCGGTGCCCCATCGAAGGTCGGGAGCAGGAGCCCCAACCCACTCCAATTCAGGCATGGGACCTCCGTCTTCGCCGGATTTATCTTCAGCCGGCTCAACCTGAGCCAACCAGCCACGGCCTGCAGTGCCTGGTCCAGATCTTCCGGTCTGGAGTCCGACCGGCCACCCAACATCAGATAATTAGCATTTAGCTGGGGGTTTTAACATCTGTGTTGGGAGCAATCCAGCCTGTGCTTAGGTCACTGCACTGGCTGCCAATAGCATACTGAATTCACTTCAAGGTGCTGGTACTTACTTTTAAAGCCATATATGGCCAGGGTCCAGCATACCCCCCATACATACCCCGGAGAGCACAATGGTCAGGGTCACAACATCGGCTAACTATTCCAGGCCCTAAAGATGCCAGGCTCGCTGCCACTAGGACCAGGGCCTTTTCAGTGGCGGCTCCTTACTGGTGGAATGAGCTCCCGGAAGAGATCAGGGGCCCTGGCAAGACAGAGCTTTTCCACCAGGCTTTGAATTAGGAGCTGCCCACTATTACCACCACCGA